GGGGGCTGTTCTCAGTGTCGTTCCAGAACTCTCCATGGGGCTTTGCTGGGTGCAGCTTCTCGGCTTAGAGCCTTCCAGGCTCCAGGTGCCCCCACCTGCCCCTAGGGTTCTCGCTGTGCCCTACTGTGCCTTCATGTTCCCTTAGTCTCTCCGAGCTGTTCCAACCCTGACAGCAGGGAGACCCACATGAAGTGGGGACTTCCCAATGGAGAAAGGGGACCCGAACTGATGGTGGAGGGAGAAAAGCAGCCTGAGGGCCTGGCCTGGAGTCAGGTACAGGATCTAAGCAACAGGCAGGGCAATTAATCTCCTGCTGGTCCCCAGTGAGCCTTGAGGAGTGTGAATGTCACTGCCCTAGCCATGTGGCTGCTTGAGCCCCCTGCTGTAGCCATGTCATCTGGGAAGGGTCTGGGATCATGGGGTCATTGGGTCATCTTCTGTTGGTGCTGGTTGCCCGAGGCCCTGCAGCTGCCTGATGTCCCTAAGGGGCTGTGGTATTGTGGTTACTCCCCAACCCCCTGGAGGTGGCTCCCTGGGGAGTTCGGACCTGGCATAGGGCTGCCTTAAGTGGGGGTGTCTCAGGGTCACCCAGGTCCCATAGAACGTGCCACTCCCTGAATCCATCCAGTGCTCAGGGGTGACCATGTCTAAGGTCCCTGCAGTAGGACCCCCATCTGGGGCTTGGGGGTGCCTGGGGTACTGGCCGGCTGGGTCCTGGCTTACTCAGAACACCAAACAGTTTAGTGTTTTCAGCTGAGAAGAGGGGTCCTGTCTCTGCTCACATTGTGGGAGGGGAAGCAGGAGCCACCCAGGGGCATGGCCTAGTTATAGGGGCCACCAATCGGCAGAGCAGACAGGCCACCCTGGGCCCCTTAGATGGGCAGCTGCCTGGCTGTGCAGCGTAGCAAGTTGTGCTTGCAGGTGAGGAGGGGCTGGCAGGGCTGTGTGTGACGGCCTGACACAGCTACACTTGTATTGTTGCAGGACCGACCAGTTGGGCATGTTCACACACAAGGAGTTTGAGCAGCTGGCCCCTGTGCTGGATGGCTTCAGCCTTATGACCTATGACTACTCCACGGCGCAGCAGTGAGTGTAGGCTTGTGGACACCGCGGGGCATGGCCTGATGGAAGCTGGTGGCGCTGTGCCTACCCTGTGTCCAGGAGGAGGTGGTCGTGTGGGCTGGGCCTTGGCCTGAGCCACAGACGCACGCAGGTGTCCAGTAGGAAGGACACCCAAAGGCCACATGTCTGCATTCCCTCCTCCCCTCCGTGTGTCTCAGACTCCTACTTCTTGCTCTGGGGACAGGGCGGCTGCACATGAGCACCTTGTCCCGGGCATGGGACATCCCGTGGATCCCAGCAGAAGGTGCTGGAGACCTGGACTGCTTTGCTTTTTGTTTGTTTTGTTTTTGTCCTTTTTGAGACGGGCCGCACCACGCTCAGCCAGTGAGCGCTGTGAGCGCACCGGTCATCCCTATATAGGATCCCAACCCACGGCGGGAGCACTGCTGCGCTCCCAGCGCCGCACTCTCCTGAGTGTGCCACGGGCTCGGCCCTGGACTGCTTTGCTGATGGCCCTTCGTGATCAGTCATTTCTGGTTCTTCCTGACTCTTGGGAGGTGTGGGCCACCGTAGAGAGAGAATATGCCCATGGGAGCTGAGCACCAAGCTCAGGTACAAGGCTTCCTGTCTGGTGCTGAAAGTGCTCCCCCTCTTGCCCCTACAGGCCTGGCCCTAATGCACCGCTGTCCTGGGTTCGAGCCTGTGTCCAGGTCCTGGACCCCAAGTCCAACTGGCGGAGCAAGATCCTCCTGGGGCTCAATTTCTATGGCATAGACTATGCAGCCTCCAAGGACGCCCGGGAGCCCGTCATCGGGGCCAGGTGAGCCCAGGATTCCCACCACGCTCAGGGTGTTGCTAGTCTCAGGTGGGTGTGTGCTGTCACACCCCAGGAAAGGGAGGAAGAAGTCGGGCTGGGAAGGGCAGGGGTCCAGTCCCCAGGGGCTCATGGACTGTGGGATTGGAAATATGGGCTGGGTGGGAAGCTCTGGGTCCTGCACCTGTGCCTGCCCTGCCAGGGTTGCCACCCTCCCTACAGCACTGATGCATTAGCTGATGAGTGTGGCCTCATGCTGTCCCTGAGCATGACTGACCTGTTGGTGGTCTTAGGAGTGTGTGCGGAGAGCTGGATGCAGCTGCTGGGTTTGGGGACCCCTCCTTCAGTTTATGCATGGCTGGGGCTCACTTGGGACCCAGGCACCCAGGCCTGGGCCCACCCGTGTGTTTCGGATGCTCCTTTCTCCATCTGGTGTCGTTTGCCTTCTACTGAAGGACTTCCTGTACCATTTTCTCCTTGTGGTTCTGCTGGTGTGGATTCTTCTCAGCTTTATTCTACCTGTTTCTGGAAGATGGTTTTCCTGGGTGTGGAATTCTGGTTGCTGGTTTTTCTTCAGTACTTTGCAGATGTTGCCTCTGTGTCTTCTCACTTGCATTTTTCCAACAGGAAACGTGTTGTCCATGTTCTCTTTTCCCTTCATGCCCTACTTTTAAGATTTTGTATTTATCTGGGTTCTGAGCAGTTTATGATGTTTCTTCATTTTCTTGTGCTTGGTGTTCATTGAGCTTCTTGAATCTGTGCATCTATACTTTTCATCAAATATGGAAAAATTTTGGCTAGTTTCTTAAAATATTATTTCTGTTCCTCCCTTTGTTTCCTGTCCTTCAGGGACTGTAAATACTTGTGTTAGGTCAATCGGATTGGTCCCTCAGCTCAGTGATATGCATTTTACTCTGCTGATTCTTTTTTCTGTTTTCTCCTGGTCAGTTTTTGCTGCTGTTTTCATAGTTTGCTGGTCATTTGTTTTGCCATTTGTCCCATTGGGTGCTCTTTTCGTCTCACATGTTTAATTCTCATGTCTAGGGGTTTGTTTGGGGTTTTTTTTTTTTTTTTTTTTTTTTTTTTGGTGTGTCCGGCAACGGATCGCACCCCTCGGCGTCGCGCCCGCACCTCGCTCAGCCAGTGAGCGGGAACCGGTCTGTATGTGGGATCCGAACCCTCAGCGGGAGCGCCGTTGCACTCCCAAGCGGCGCACTGTAGCAGGGCGCCCCCCGGCCGGCCCCTGTTTGGGGTTTTTTTTTTTTTTTTTTTTTTTTTTTTGGGGTGC